GTCGCCGGGCCATAATGCAAGTCGAGTTCAAACAAGGACGATATCGCACAAGTATATGTAAAAGAAAATAAAATAATAACTCAAAAAGTTCAAATGTGTTAAAAAAGGATAACAATATTTTATATCTGGTTGCTGAATACAGGACTGCATCTTCTCAACCCGCTATATGGATTCGTGACACTTTGTGTTTGTTAGGAGAGTCTTAACATCTTAAGTTGTCTGTTCTTTAAGAAACTGGTTCTTGGTGTATCTTCAGGCGATATTCGTAAAACTTGTTTTGGTGGTGTGAGTCTAAGTCGTTCTTCAAAAATAAATTGTTCTTGGTTAGAAGATGAGTCGTGATTTGCGTGGAATCTTTCAAGTCAGCTATCTGCGAGGCAGGTCTTCAGAGCTCTCAGCTCACTGCAACTAACTGGAACTTAACTGGAACTGGAACTGCTTTTCACTCGCTGCGACTCTGCTTATATGGACGCCGACCAAAACCGGGGTGGGCTTGTCGGGGTTTGAGGTTCCTTGATAATTCTAAATCCACAATCCACTTCTTTGTTTTCGGTCAGGAAAATTTATTATTTTCCATTTTTGGAAGTCTTTTCGTCCTCCCGCCTTCTTCTGTTCTCATATTGGTATCTCACCATACCCTCAGAGGGTGTCAATGGGTTTCCCCTCTCTCACAGTGGCATCTCACACCTATCCCTTCAGGGGGGCGCAACAGGCCTCCCCTCCTTCTTCACATGATTACCTCCGCCTAACGCTCATGCCACCATTCAGCCAATGGGCGCTCAGCGGCGTGGGTGTGGCCAGACTAGCCTCGGTTTAAAAAATCTTGCTCAAAGAAAAAAAATTATCTTCATTTTTCTTTTCTTTCTCTTTCTTTCCTTCTGCCTGACAACAAACCCTTGGACTCTTATCTTAGCCAAATGTCACCTGGACTTTATCACCCAGGGCCTTCGCCAAACAAGTGGGTGGTCAACTGGACGTATTTGCATTCTGTCGCTAATTAACTGTTCTGATAAAATAGTTTTGCTATCATAGCCAGCCCTGACAATAAACAGATGCTCCTCTCAATGATATTCTGCATATAGACAAAGGCTTAAGCTTTCCTTCATGGTGGTCAGCGGACATTTTTGTTTTTCTGTCAGCACATGACATATATAATTTTTATCTCTTTAGAATTCTGCGGGAGGTCGCTTGTCCAACTTGAAATGTTTACCATGGGCAGATTGGATATATCTTATTCACCGTCCCGATTATCAGATTAAATCCAGTATCTTACTTTCTCGACAATGAAAATAAAATTTTAGCATTTCTCTTTGTCAAAAAGAATAACATCACTTAGTGTCCTTTTCGTGATGGCTTCTTATCACCTAAATTTAATTCTCGCCTTTCTTTTTTTCTTCTTTCTTTCTAGCGACGTAAATAGTGTCACATACTTGTGAATGCTGAAACCCTTCAGCTTTTGGCTCTCCTTGTAGCTGTCAATTTTCACCTGTGAAAGCCAAATCCCTTCAGTATACTAGACTTCTTAAATAGCCACAAATCGACTCTGAATAAAGAAATGTAATACTTTTGGTTTGTAATTAACTTTCCCTATTGGTTAAAAAAAATCACTAATGTATCTTTTTATACCATGCTTGTTTGCAAATTTTATTTTATTTAGGCAGTTTTGAGAATGTCAGACATGAGCCCCCTATTTTTTCTTTTTTAAAAAAAAAAAATTCAAAATTCAAATTTTTTACTTGTATCTTTTTTATAAACCGTCAGAATTCATCTTGACTGTTCTTTTACAGCATCCATTTGAGCCTTACATCATATTTTGTTCAAGCCATTTTTTATTAATCTGGCAGTTTTTTATTTAAAGAATAGATGTTAGTAACTTTCTTCTTTTAATGTTTTTTTTTTAGACACTGCTCTCAAAAGTTAAATAAACAAAACTAGTCTAAAGGTTGAATAAAAAAATACAATATTTTTATATAATCTTAGATCTTTTATAATAATTTTTGCATCCTTGTTTCATTTTATTGATCTATCGTCCCATCTCAACACCACCAAAAACATATTATTGGCATTCTTTTAAAACTAGTATATTACAAAAAATTGCAGTTATTTGGAATATTTTTTTCTTTTTTTTTTTAAAAAAAAAAAAAAAATGTAAAGCATGACTTGTAGGAAATTTTCCAGATTTTAACATTTTTCTTTAGAAAAAAAAATGCAGATTTTAGTCTATTTAAAACTGTGGGATTTTACAAAATTGGTCAACTTAAAAATATGCATATCACCTCAAATTGCAGATTTTAATACTTATATTAAAAAGGCATAATTTGAAAAAGAAAATGTCAGATTTTAATATTTCCTTTAAAGAATGCAAGATATCAAAGAATTACATATCCAACCATTTTTTAAAAGGTGTGATTTGACAAAAAAATTGTAGATATTAATATTTCTTTAACGCATATCACAAAAGGTTTAGGACACTTAAACAAGCTTGTCTCACTAGAACAATTACAACTGAGTAGTTGGCTCAATTCTCACTGAGTGCCCCATACTTCCAGCATGTGCCACTTAGAAAATCACCAAATCACCATATCACAGGTTTAATCTTTCTTTTAAAAAAAATGCAAGATACTCCAAAAAATTGCAAGTAGTAGGGCAGTTTACCTAGGATATTCAAACCTATTGTACATTTTTTGATAAGTGCCAATTTTGGTAAAGAGTTAGACCAATATATTATGAACAAATTTGTATATGGAGCCATTGCCCAACTGCCCCAAAATGGCCACCATGTGGCTGCAGAGAAAGACTTATTCCAAGCTGAATAAGATGTACTGAGCAAATGTGCAGGAAAAAATGATTGTTTTGAATCTGCAATGTTGTGCAAACATTATATTGCATGCTGTTGCTATTAAAATTTAATATTTCCTTTAAAAAAAAAAAAACAATAGCACAAGTTCTCAATTTAATATTCTTTTAAAAAGTAAATATTGACAAAATAATTGCATTTATTTTAAAAAAAATAAATTTTGCATGTGCATATTTTAATAAAAATATTAAAATATGCAACTTTGACAAATTGTGCATTTTAAGATACACAATTTTGTAATATGAATTTCTTTTAAAAAAAGATTGAATAGCAGTTTTAAAAACTGCTATTATTCAACCATTTTTTAAAATAATGTTTAAAATATGCACTATTTTTCTGATATTGTACTTTAAGATTTAAAATTTTCCTTTAAAAAAATGAACATACAAAACATTTTCAAAATATGTTTTAAATGTGCAAAATTTGATATCGTAATAAAAAAAGCTGTCTTGTCTCACTACCTAAGCAAGCAATAATTATTTACCCAATTTATGAATTTTTTTTTTTATGTAACATGCAATATATTTGTTTTCAGTAAAAACACCCCTCCCACCATCCGTTTTTCTTATTCTTGGAAATGTGCAATAATTTTCCCTACTTTTTTTTTTAGCATGTGCACTCCAAATTATGTACTCTTTCTTCTATTTAGTGTGCTACACTTGGCCATAAACCGCTGCTTTTAGTATCTCTAATTTCAGCTATTAGTTGACCACCTGTCCTATCATCAGTCCTCTTACTGCTCTGGTCAAAGTTTCCACCATCTCCATTGCTCACATTTCACTCTTGTAGGATTTTTGTAGTTCTTTTCCTTAAACCTTTTATTAGTGCCTAAGATGCCTAATCATTCCCAGGGATGAGCAGACCATGATGTGGGTTGCTTGTCTAATCTTCACCAGACATCTGCTCTCCACTAACCAACTACTTGCCAGACACAAATTGGATAACTAGCTTTCACTCTGGGAAATTCCTTTATTAGAGGACCAAAGCCATTTACTCAGTGTTATTCTAGAGAGCACCAAGAAGATGTCCCAAGTCTCCTAACTTTCTACTCTTTGATAGTAGCTACGAGAGCTTTTTCAAAAGCTGAAGAAATCATTAGAATTTCTAAGGTAGTTAGTGGAGTCACAAAGTTATTGCAAACCTGTCATGTTTTCCCTTAATTTTTATATCCCAATTTTTTGAGGACTTCAGAATAGTAAGTGACTCAACCAAGATAGATTAGCAGAGCAAACGGCACAAGAAGCTAGAGTAGAAAGGGCTATAAAATCGAAAGATAGTGGGGAAATAGCCACAGCTAAGGCAGAGTTGGCCTCCTTGCTTCTCAAAAAGGATCAAGTTCTGGTAGTTACGGATAGATTAAAAAGCATGTCTTCCAAGGCAACAAATATGGCCACTGAATAGCGAGATGAAGAAGTTCAGAGTATCACAGATCAATATATTGCTAGTGTCACATTGCCGGCTGGGTGTACCGTGACTACAAACAATGACATATGCAAGGCTTTCTAGTAACCACTCTTACCCCACTGTTCAACCATGGATATAGAATGGGCAAGTTTATCACTTCAAACAACTTCAAGAGTACTTTCCCCAACCACAGTAGACATAACACTAACACAAGTAACTTCTAACTCATAGAACACTCACTAAAGTGACACATCTCATAGAAGAGTAATAATGTCTCAGCTCAGTTGCCAAGACTCTGGGCTACTGCAGCAACCTGGACCAGACCTTTAGTAGCAGGTTCCAGAAATGTGCAGTGGTTATCAAGCTTGGGGCCAGATAGCTTAAAGAGAGCATGTTAAGCTGAGTTTAGACATGCTCCATGGACATCTATCAAGCAAGTTCATGGTGCAGTCAAGAATTATAAGTACCATTTTGTAAGATCATCTTAATTTTTTTCACCTCAATTAAATTCATGTTTTATCAATTTCATAATACTGACTATTTTTTGTTAAATTTTCCATGACCAGAATTTAAATTTTTATAATTCAGGATAAAAAACAAACAAATGAAAGTTTGAAACATTTATTTTTGTTTCTTAAATGCTTGAAGCAGAAACAATGAGATTTTCCTTAAAAGTTTGCAAGATTTTACTGAAAATACTGACAGGAAAGATATTAAAAATAAAAATCCTTCACAAAATCTATTCAGGTTCCATAGCTACAACTGGATGTGGTCCTCCTTCAGCAGGAGTAAATGATTCAGGTTGATCTTCCTGTTCCATGGGAGTCTGTAATATAGAGTAGAAATTATTATTTCTCAATTTAACAAAAGAGAAATTTTTTGAATTCACTTTTTCAACTTTTCATTCATAAATAAATATTGAATTGTAAAATAATTTCAAAATAATTGTAGTAAAACTATAATTGTTTTCAGGTTTCATTATTATAAACATATGTTAAAGTTACTTTGCGCAATATGAAAGGAGGTACTAAAATATTCTCAAGATAGGTAACACTACAAAAAAAAAAAAGTAAATAAATATTAGCCAAAACTGACTTATACATAAAATGAATATTCATTCATAATGAATCAGAAATAATTTAAAATTTCATTGTGCAAAATGTGTTAGAGCAAATTTAATCAGTGGAATTTGCTATAAAGTCATGGTAAAAAAATTTTTATTGAAAACTCTACCAAAGGAGCAAAATAATTAGTGCCATTTTTATTGACCAATTCTTGTCTTCTGTTTACTAAAAGACACCTTCTCATTGTCATATGACCATAAGCAATATCAAGATGATTTTTTTTTATATAGCATTTTGAAATCTTCATATTGGTTACAGTGAGAAAATTTGAAATTGTTAAAATATTTTTCAATTTTCAATCGTTGAAACTACCACAAAACTACCCACACAGAGCACAGCCCCTTGACTCATTAGCATTTGCAGCCTGCTTGATGTTCTCTCACTCATGCTCATTTTATACAGTGGCTGAGGCTCAGAAATTTGCTCAAGTTGCAGCTTTTGGATTGGCCATGTTTTCTTTCACATATTTTGTATACAAGCATATTTGGTTCTGCGAGTTAAGCCATTTTCCCTTCTACATTTATGTTTTTCATAAAATATATTTTTTCAATAAATTGCCTAGAGAAAGATAGGTTAAATGTGATTTGTTCAGAAAAGTAATTTGAGTGACTGAAACAAAAAAATGTCATTTTATCTAAAACTTTCCAAACACTAAATTTTCACTTCAATTACAAAACAAAAATCAAAATACAAGTCATTCTAACAAAAATCAAAATACAAGTCATTCTAACCAAAATGAACAAATTAGATTTGCTAATTTCTATTAAAAACATTAATGTTACATGTAATCAATACAAATATTTGCTCTTTATTTCCAGTCAACCCAAAATGCTCCCCTTCCCCTTGAAACATTTAAATATTAATCAAAATAACATGAGAAAATTAAAATTATAATTTACCTATCATTATTTTGATAAAACAAATCAAAAACATAAATTATAAATTAAACTTACCTCAGCAGCTGGTGGGGGACCTCGTGAACGTTCATCTTTTTCAATTAATTCTAACTAAATATAAGTCAAGGAAAGATGTGTACAAAACAAGATCCATTTGCATTATTAAAACACTGACAACAATGGTAATATTAATGTTTAATTCATTGGCAATACTGTTCTTTTCTGTCTATCTGACAATAAATTATAGAGATGAGTGAATAAAATCATAAAATACTAAAAAAAAAAAAAAAAAAAAAAAAAAAATCAATGTGCTTGTATATTTTTTGATTTTCTTCGAAAGACCTGGACATTCACACTTTGCAGATCCAAATTAAAGTTGAAAAGTGAATGTATTACGACATAATAAATAATGTGTGTATATTCTCAGATTATAATCTGTAAAGACAGTATGAATAGGAGAAAAAGAGACATGAGGAAAACTATTTAATTTCAGCCAAGATGTTTCATCCATTGACAACCTTTATCAAGGCAAAAGCGAAATGAATTTATTTGAAAACAATGTAGCCAATCAAAACTAAAATGAAATGTTAGTTACCAGAAAATTATAAACACTCATAAATATTCCTAAGTTCAACTGAAGAATATTAAAATATGTTATTTTGCATACTCAAAAAGAATTTTCCATATAAATCAGCATTTTGCATACTCAAAGAAAATTTTTTTATATATTTATGTGGTGGCATTTTTCAGTAATCTGGTAGCAAATCCTTGATGTGTTTTTATGAGCATTGGAGAATGATTTCTTCTTCAATGCAGTATCTGAGAAAGTTCTTTCTCCTTCTGTAGGAAAGAACGGATGTTAGCAGTTGTATATATTTTCTTATTAAGTATATATATTTTAGTTATCCATATAATCTGTAGAGAGGACAGTATGAATAGAGTATATTGATATTCTGCAGTTGGACTTATGAATATTTATAAGTGTTTATAATTTTCTGGTAACTAACAACATTTCCTTTTTGTTTTGATTGAATACATTTTCAAATATAAATTCATTTTGCTTTTGCCTTGATGAAGTCTGTCAATGGACAAAATGCTCCAGCTGAAATTAAATACAGTTTTCCTCATGTCTTTTTTCTACTATTCATAATAATGTTAAATAGTACCAGATTTTGAGATATAATCATAAATGATCATATAAAATCAAGACAAAACAATACTTAGATGCAATCAATATTAACAAGAATCAAATTTATTATTACTAATTATTTTAATTGTTTTTCTTTAGCTTAACACATTTTATCACATTTCCAATTTGAATACTTTCTGAGAATTAAAATAGCTTGAAGTCAAAGTAGCTTCAGATGGAACTAGCATCCTATATACCAGCTTATCTTTCATGAATGATACCATAACCAGAAACCTATGGCTACAAATCTATTCATATTCTTCATTTCTACTGAATGAAGAATAGTTAAAGATTAGCATTGAAATTTTATTCCTATTCTCAGAACAGCATCATTTGCTTTGCCTATAGAGAGAATGAAAAAAGATTCATAATCAAAGAACTACACACACAAAACAATATCCTATCTACAACTTATAACTATATACAATATAAAAAAAAAAGGATCATTGGGGGCCAACTAAGATCAGATATACATTCAAAAAGAGAAAAGCTTCTTAAAGCAAAATGTATTTGATTTGGCATAGACTGAGGAGCCAAAACATTGTAACCAGCTACCTAATAAGGTGTTGGCCCCCTATGTGATTGCAAAACAGCAGTTTTTATCATATCTGACATAAACTACACAAGGACTCTAAAGGTTTCTCTAGAATATTAACAGGAGGCCCTTTAACTACCACAAGTTAGTTACATGGTGATACAATGTGAACTGGTTGATCTCTAACATAGCCAATAAGTGCTTAATTGGATTGAAATCTAAGGGAGGGGGGGGCAAAACAATACAATGAAATCTTCATGTTCCTGAATCTATGTACATACACCTCTTACCGTATCTCAGGGTGCATTGTTCTGCTGAAAAATGTCAGTCATGGATAGACTGACTGCTTTGCAGCTACTCAGCCTCATATGCAAGACATCATTCCTTCACCTTATCTGCAATTTGTACCAAATTAGCACTTCTGTTAGCTGATATATGGTAGTAAAGTTCACTTCTTGAATTTTACAAGTCTTGGCTGGCCTATGGCTTGTCAGCAGTTGGCGATTTTTTTTCCTCCTCAAAATACAAACATACATACACACCACAACTAAACATAAGCACACCACAAACCATATGGCTTTGAAAAACTCTCAAATCTACTCTTCTGGCCATAATAATTTGGGATTTCTCAAAGTCATTCACATCTTTCATTTTTAGCTATAACTGTGGCATTCACTATATCAAAATGAAGTATTCAAAACCAGCTTACTTGCATGTACAGGGTGAGGCAAAAAGAGATATTTTCTTAAAAGTATTATTATGCATGAACATTTTATTTACTAGTTATTTAATTGTGATATGTGCTGTTCAAAATGTCATTTTTCAAAACATTTCAATTCCTGCATGATTCATTAACACGTCGGATAGTTTCCTCTGTCATTTGACTACATTCATATTTAAATTTAAGTTTCTCAATATTTCTTGGACACATCTGAAAAACAACTGATTTCAAATGGCCACACAAAATAAGAAAATATCAAAACAAATTAGACATTTAAAATATGATTAATTAACTCCTATAGTGTGTGACTTTTGCCTCACTTTGTATATTTCTAAAATGTGCAGTTGTTATGAGACAGTAACTACCATTTTTGTTACATATTATTAGTCATTACGTCTTTACTTATAAGTGTGCATGCAGTTAACTTTTAAGTAATACACAAGTACCAAATATAAATTTTGATTATGACAGTAGTAATTACAAAGGATACAAATTCTGCAACAGCTTCATTGTCATAAATAGTAAACTTGGTATCAGGACCAACAATAGCTAAAGAACAATTCTGAAACATTACAAAAATTTCAGTAAACAAAATGCTTAAAAAATATTAAATAGTGAAATAAACAGTATAACAATAATAGTCCTAAATATATTCATATTTTAGAGTAAGTTAGAAATAAGTAAATTTAATTTCTACAAGCATTTTTCAATATAGTAGATTTCAGCTGATTGCTAACACAGCAGAAATAAAGCAATTTGGCACAATTTTTTCATGTTATAAAATTAATAACATATTAATGTAATTATTAATATTTTAAAACTATTAAGTGTCCTGCCATATCTTAAGAATCTGGACATGAATAAAATCAATGCAATAGTGAAAAACAGAAACTTCAATATTTTCTAATGTTGCAATCTATCTACTGCTTCTTGATTAGTCACTTGGGCAATTCAACCTAGTTATCATCTACCTGAAGTTTTAAAGTAAATATTGTATCTTCAAAGTGTTTTATCATTCACCTATTAAGCTTCTCAATGTCAATGAGTAAAGCAGCTCTGGGTTACTTGTTAGTTTACAAATTGTTAAAGAATAACAATTTTGTCAAAGAGACATCTTTTTTTCTTTTTTTTTTTTTGATAGAAATTTGCATTCAGTAAGTGACAATTTTACTCTATAAGACTGCTCACAACAGATACAGATAGAGTGTAACAGCAATGACTAACCAGAAATTACTTTAGTTTAGGGTTTTCCTTCACAAGTAAAGAGTAGTATTCATTATTTTTAGAGTAAATACTTGTGCAAATGTCTTAAATATCTGAAACTTACCTTTGTTGTTAATTCCACATCTTGCGGTAATGTATCTCTCAGAGCCCTCAAACCATATCTTATTAGTTCATTGACACTACCTATAAAAGTAATTTAAGTTTACATTTTGTGTCCATATTATTAATGGTAACAAATTTTGCATCAAGCCTTAACAGAATAATAATAGCAGAAATGTTAATGGTGATTACCACAGCCACTTACATTTGGACATTTAAGTGGTAACATTAAGAAATTCTAATGAATGCTAGGAAGATACATCAAAAAAAATTGTAAGCATCCAGGGTTAAAGCTAGTGCATAAACGGAAAATACAAAACATAAGAAACAAGTAAAAAGGCAAGTTAGAGTGCAGAGTAAATTTACTAAATTTTGACAATGCTGATAAAGTTTAATAATATGTGAAATAATTTAACAAATTATTTAATTTCCTAGCTTTTGAAAGACATTAATTTTCTATTTCAAATTCCATATAATACAAAACTCTTATATTAATCTTTATAAAAACATTTTATAAAAAGCCAATTTTTTAAAATATTAAATGAAATTTGGCCAAAAAAATACTCTACATAAATGCAAAGATGTCATTGATAATAAAACAAATCATTTTCTCTAATGTTTACATATATAGTGAGACAGAAAAAAAGTGTGTGTGTTTGTGCAGTAAGCAGATGCCAAAATTTTCATAGCACATTTAGCATTTCAATATTATAAATTAAAGAGCTGATCATTTATTACTCTTCTACTAGAAAAGTAAGACAAACCAACTTCAGAGGTGTACATTTTGCACTCCTGCAGAGAAGAATTTGTAACCGCTCATTCTTAGGAAGTGTTCTTGGTGCAAAAAGGTTGTTATGTTAGTTACTAGGTTTGATATCAAGTCTCAAACACTAATAGTAATAGTGAAATAGATGACATAACTCCCACTATATGAAGAAACAGAACATTCAATAGCTTTGATTAGAGCCGAGAGAACACAAAATTACAGTGAAGCAATCAAAGAAGGATGATTAAAGGGAAGACAACAGGTGTCTGTATTTTTTTCACTGTGACGGAGAGAGAGTCTGAAAAACACACACAAACACACTCATGTTTACTTTTTATTTTAGTGAAATTGGAGAAGGTTTGAAAAGTGAAATTAAATCAGAGCATTTACGTTTACTGATGGGAAATCTGATCTAGGGCACGAGCTGTACCCATTGGAACTGGGTCATTAGCAGACAATGGAAATAATTTTTATTGATTAAAACTTGTAATAGATTTGAATAGTGAAATTAAATCAGAGCATTTTGTTTACTGATGTGGAAATTTGATCTAGGCCAGAAGTTATACCCATTGAATCTGGGTCATCAGAAGACAATGGAAATGGTCGAAATAATTTTTATTGATTAAAAATTGAAATAGAGCTGAGTAAGCTGGAAGGACCTTTTGAATTCACATGATTTTGGTTGAAACAGCCAAGACCCCGTGATAATCACGTGCGACCAAGGTTCAGTTGTAACCAGCTGGATTTTTCTATATAAACCCGTAGTTATGCTGCAAAAGGCAGATAGGAGAAATTTCTTGAAGAGAGAGTTGGCCTGGGCAAGCGTTGAGACGGAAGAGAGAAACTCAAGGAGAGAATGTGATGTTAGGGATTGGAATGAAGCATCCGCTAATATGTGCTGTTGATATAAGTACCGCTGCTCTGCTACCACGAATTTTACTACTACTGTAACTACTGCTAAGGGGGAATGCCACAATGAACTTACAACCATGCACAGAAATCTTATTTCTCCATTGCAAGAGTCGTATATCGTTCTGGGATGATTTAAGTTATGATTAAGTTAATCATAACACACTCTCTCTCTCTGTCCAGAATCCAGTGTATGCATTTTACGTCAATTATTTTTCTTTTCTGTAACCCATTTCTTTTCTATACTATTCTTTTCTGCTATATAAAAGACATTAACAATTCAATCATTGAATAGTTGTTTGTCTGGCTTTCTGCAGATATTTTTTTTTTTTTGCTGCATTCTAAATTTCTTAGTGCACTCTCCAGCTATGTCTACATCTTCAGTCGACTGTGACTGGATGAATATCACTTCTGATTTCTGGATCAAACCAAACACAACGTGGGCAGGAAGCAGGATTAAACCAGTGGACCAGTCAAATAATCTACGGATGCTCAGGGGATCTACGGCCACTCCCTTAAGTTCAGTTAGGACCAAGTAGGCACCTCAACCCAGAGAGTAAGATGTCGGAGGTTGAGGGGCTGGGGAGAAAGTGTTAGATCACAAGGTCAATAAAATCACTAAATTTATTTCTTTTACATCACAACCCTAGATTATTAATCCATTATTATAAGCAAATATAGTGGATCAGGAAAATGTAACAAAATGAACACTGGTGCTTAGAAATTATCATTTTGATTAAAATTTAGAAACAACAAAAAAAATAACATGATTAAACAACAGTTCATTCATTATAAAAAGTAAGAAAATGGTATGATTTTAAAAGATACCAGTTCTAGTTTCTGATAAAAATATTCAAACATAAAATTAAACAGAAAATCTTTATTTCATGGGTTTTCAACAGTAATTACAGAATGAATAAAGCAGCTTTTTATTCTGTAAATACAAACATGTATTTTCATTATATTTTATATAATATAGTCATAAAATATTTGTACAGAAGGGCTTTAAAATATTGTCCAATCAAGACTTTTCAAACATGTAAATAAAACTTATGCATCCTTATTATTTAATAAAATTGAAAAATGAAAATATAACTTTGATAAACTACAATAATAAACAATCTCGATAAATTTAACAATTTATAAGTAAAACAGTCACATAGAAAGTGAAAATAAATAGGTTTATTAAAATAAAATACAACACTGTAAAAATATTCAATTTTACATTGTGCTAAGAGATAATTTAAACGGAAAGAGAAAAATATACAATTTTGTAAAACTAAATACAAAATTTTAACTGACTTAAATGTTGACTTTCTGTATACAAACACACTTTGGAATGGGATCACACATATATCGACAGAATGAGGGCTTAGCAATGGGCTCGCCATTATCACCAGCAATGGCGAATATATGTATGGAATATTTGAGGAAATGGCATTAGAATCTATATCTCTAAAGCCAACTATATGGTTAAGGTACGTAGATGACACCTTCATACTCTGGCCACACCAGGAAGATGTTCAGGTTCTACTGGACCATGTGAACTCAATAAGACCTTCGATACAGTTCACAATGGAGAAAGAGAGTAACAACACACTCCCATTCCTGGATGTTCTAATATCTTGAATAGAGCATGGGTTCAAGACATCCGTATACCGACATTCACCGGACAGTACCTCAATTTCAACTCCCATCATCCATACAGCGTAAAGAAAGGGATTGTCTGCTGCTTACAACACTGAACAAAAGTCATAAGTGGTGACCCAGAGACATTAGATAAAGAATTGGTCAGTATAAGTGGTACCCTACAACGTAACAACTACCCTGGGTAGCAGCCCCAAAAAACTGGGATAGGCAGGTTATCAGAGAAAATACAAAGGATCTGCGGTCCATATAACATCAGGACAACTTTCAAAAGCTTGACAACACTTCACAGATATCTCTCCCGAGTGAGACCCCCCCCCCCCATATAGGAGAACATGACTAAAGACTGTGTGTATGCTATCCCGTGCAGCTGCGGAAAGAAATATAAAGGGGAGACAGGCCACTCACTCAAGGCAAGGCTTCAAGAACACCAGCCAACCAAGCATAGAAATGAATACAATATGGGAACCAGTAATAAGGAGTGCCAGAGAAAAACGATAACAACAAAAGTTGCAATATGAGCTCTGGTAAAAACATACAATGATAACAGCAAAAAATTGCAATATGAGCACTGGTAAAAATGGTTGTTGAAGACATTAGGCTTATAATACCCAGAAATTCATACACAGATGTCCTCAAGGACACATGGCACAGTGGATAAAGGCGTTGGTTAGATCCAGTGACAGGACCCAAAGAGTGTGAGTTCAGTGGAGAACTTTCAGAGAGAAATTAACAGGACATCCATTGTGGAACTAGAACAGTCTACCCCAGTGAGCGAAATAAAGGGTTAAGTTCGACATTCCAACCACCTGAAGAAAGCATACAACAGCTGAAACGTTGTAATAAATATAGCGGACAGTAGTCTGAATAATGTAAATAATACTTTGTCTCAGAAATATAGACAGATACAAAATTTTAATTATTTTATAAATCAATCCATTATCATAAATTAATTATCAAGACTGTTTTATATTGTTCTTTATAGCATTTTTAGAGATTTAGATAAGACTTATAAAATAATTAATACCTTTTAATTTAAGCATTTAAATTAGATTGCATGGGGAAAATTTAACTGAAATTAAAATTATATAAAATAAAATTATTTACTTAAGAGGCTGGAATAAGACAAAGAAAAACTAGAAAACTGTTATAATGTTTCAATATTATAAAAGTATGTTAAAATTAATTCTCACATGGTACCAATTAGTAAAAAAAGTGTACTCACTGATTTCTCATTAATTTTTTAATTGTTTTCTTTTTGTTTTTTAAACAATGCTCAAGACCATTATACCACAACTATTAAAGTAACAAGAATTAGAAATAAAGTAGACTTAGATAAGATTTAAACTTGCATCCCATATCTTGTACTCAATTAATTTGAGCACAGAGACCTACAGGCCAAGTGAAACCCAATCTACAGCCACATAGCTACTTCTTTGTGATTCTTTAAGTAACATTTTAAAATAGGTACCTTGACTAAAATCGTGATACCTAATGTTTACATTCATTTTTTAAAATAAAAAGGCTTTCATGAAGCTTTAATTTTAGATTTGACTGAAAGATAAAGGATTAAATTTACTATTTCCAGTAAGCAAAATACTCTGGTGTATTTCAAACAAAAATACTATTGATTGGAATCAATTATTTTTCTTCTTTTTTTGTAACATCAAAGTCTTCCATTTTGAGATATTTGTAAACACAAGTTAGTTCTTGGTTTGAAAAAACTTGCGAAAATAAAATATACTTTTTGAAACTTTATTTGAGACTGATTTAAAGTATAATTAATTTGATTTGAAATGAATATTATTTACTTGAAGTTTAAGATATCATAAAAATTAATTTTTAAGCAAATAGTAGCTGTGTTTTTAACTGACAGTAGCCATGTTTACATGTTAGATTAAGAAAATGATATGAGCACTTTTTTTTTTTTTTTTTTTAAATATCATTTTTTTAAGTAGTCAGTAATTTTTGAAATTTTGGAAAATATTGTCCGTAATCTAATTTTAAGAGTGTTGACTAAATTTACTATAGTCATCACTCTTATTTTCTGATAATGTCGTGTATGGTCTGCTATACTTTCAAAAATGGGCATGTTTATACACATAAAAAAAAAAATTGAAAATTCAAAAAAATCTTGGTGTTTGAAGACAGGTATTAAGCGTTTTACATTCATGATTAGTAAATATAGTTTACACTTAATAATAATATAATCTAAAAGGCTGATATTAATATAGAATCTTAAAAAATTTAAAATTTTATAAATTATAATTAAAATTTTTTAAAAAATGTAAACAATTCTTGTAAAAATTCATTATTCATTGGAAAAAATTTTTCTTCAAGACAATAGTGTTCTTAATATATCTTATTTATAAAAACAATTAAAAGCTTTCCTAATTAAATAATGTCATAGTTTTATTGCATTCAAAGCAGATTTTCAGTAAATGGTGTTTCTGTTTGACAAAAACAAATTGATGATTTAAATTCTCCAGAGAGTCCTGGTTTTAACTAATATAAACATGAAGAGGCTGATATTTTAAATTCTTGAAATTTAAGTGTTAGAGGTGGGGAACAGATGCAAAAAAGAAAAAAAAAAAATATTTACTATATTTTATTTTTTTTTTATTTCTAAAATTTTTTTATTTTATTTCTATTTGTAAAAAAAAAAAAAAAATTTCCTATAGTAATCTTTGGTCTACCAAACTAGATTTTTAAACAAAATTTTAAACATGCAAAAAAGGATTTAAAATTTATCAAAAGATACTTTTGCTCTTTCCTTGTAATAATAAATATTTTCATAATAAAACTTTGTTTTCATCAAATTTGGGGACTTTTTTCATCAGGGTATACTCCTTTTTAGCAAAAAAAAAAATAAAATAAAATAAAAAAAAATAAAAATGGATGTACCTATTTTAAAGTTATTGAGCTGAAAAATATAAATAGTAAGGAGAAAATAAAACTAATGAGTACTTACAATCATAAAATTTATCCAAGTTTTTCTCAAGACATGTGCGAGCAGATTGAGACCTAGCACCAATGGCCATACATTTGCAATCATAATAGTTTGCTGAAGGACAAGTTTGGTAAATATGAGGTCCCATATCCTAGAAGAAGAGCACGAGCTTTAAAAAATTGAAGTAAATCCTTTGATGACTTCAATATTCACATAATGAGGAGAAAAAAAAAATGCTCATTTCAAAAACGAAATTATTAGTGAAAACTCGTAAAATACCACTATAAAAAAAAAAAAAAAAAAAAGAAAAAAAAACATAAGCAATTAGTAAATATACCTAAAAGACAAAAGGCTTTAAAATGCTTTTTGTCTTTTAGGTAGATATGAACTTAAAAAAAAAAAAAAAAATTTCAATTACAATACTTTATTGACCTTAGAAAAACAAAAAGCAACAAGTTAAAATACAACTGAATAATTAGTTATGTGCCTAAATTAATGAAACTTTGATCTCATAAGGAGAGCTTGGGGCAGAGTGAAGAAAAAGTTGTCATTACTTCTGCGTAAATGTAAATATCAATATTAAACAGTTGAACCATGTTTAAAATTCAGTATTAATTCAGTACAATAGTGACAATTTTTCAATATTAACATGTTGCATATGATAACAAGTATCATTTATCAAAATTTCAATTTCAGAAAAATGACTAATGCAAAAAGAGAATTTCATCACTTACATCATATCCAGCAACCAACAAACCAACACCAAATGGTCTTCGGCCATATCGCTGTGTAGGAATTTGAGATTCTAAAAAAATTGTTAAGAATTTTACACAAAAGATTTTTGTCAAAATTATATGTATAACATTACCTGAAACATATACTGGTGTAAACATAAGCAATTTGCCAATTCTTTTTTCTCTGATAACGTAACTATTAAATTTTGGACTATCAAATATTTTCTCAATAAGAATCAATATGTATCTGTACCTAGATGCTTAAAGAGAGATTTCAGTTTAACAGATTATGCACAATTATCTCACAAGTTTAAGATGTATAAGTGTATTGGTCTTGTTTAAACTTTTGATCACACCAGATGATGCATTCTCTCCCAGAAGCTCAAATTAAGGTCTGCAGTATAAAGCAGAGGCGGGCCCTATGGTTGCTGAACAAACACAAATGTGCTTGAGCAGGCATTTGCAACTGAGATAGGCTAGGTGTTTTGCAGGCAGATGTTCTCAGAAATTAATTGCAGGCCATTTTAAATATATATATATATATATATATATATATATATATATATATATATGGAAGAATACGATATATAAATTTCTATATATCAAAACAATGTTAAGCAAATGAATGTCCAAATGGAACAAATTTCTGTAACTGTTATACCATATAATGGGTATGTCCAATCCTCATAAATACAGTGGAATATACTGTCTGGCAGGGGTTCACCACTAACAGGCTGCTGGCAAATCTTGTATGTTGTTAATATTATAAACATTACTGTTTCATTTCCAACCTTTTTTTGGGGGATTTTGGCAACAAGGATTTGGCTGAACTCAAGTAAACAGTACAACATTTGACAAACAAAGATTTCGGCAGAACTCACGTAAACGTTCACGAATTCGATATTCTACTAACGAAGATATCAGCAAAACTCACGTAAAAATTCACCAAGGCTACATTGGCATCAAGAAATTACTAAAGCTACAAAAATTTTCTAAGAATTACATGGATTTTTACCAAGCTGCTCAATATACAACATTGAGAAAAACACAGGATTTTATTCCAACTACAAAGAATTACAAAACTGTCGTGAAAGGTATGTGAAATCAAAGTTTACAAAAATCATATTGTTGAGAGGGTTTCTTGGCATAAAGGTGTTACGTTGGAAGTTAATTAGTAGGAGCTTTTTTTAGAAATAGTTGTGTAAAAAAAAAAAAAAAAAAAATCATATATTTTTGTGGAAAGTACTTCATATAAAGTACAAAATGGAGGACTGTAAAATGGTTTTACTAAAAATATTGATATGACAAGGCAAACAACAGACACATAACAAACAAAGACTTGAAAAATTTGTAGAATTGTGGGTAGAACAACAGAAAATGTTAACGAGTAACAAGAATGAAAATTCAGAGGACACTATCATAAATACGATTGCTGAGTTTCATTATATGCCAGAAGAGGTGACTTTTTCGTATTTCCATAGATACAAAAACCTTTACAAAAGACTGTGCAAATTGGTCCAACCACAAAAAGGTCAGACTAGTGCTAAGGAAACTAGGCACTGTTGGACACACAAAGTTTGTAAATTACACATTACCAAAGAAAACTAGTGACCTAACATTTAAAGAAACAGTTATTGTGCTTTTGGAAGTTTTCAGCCGAAACACATTCCTTCTATAAAAGATAGAAATATATGAACTTAGTAAAAAAGGAAGATGACGATTTCACAACATTCACAAGCATTGTGAACGATCAGTGTGAGTTCAAACTGGCAGAATTAAGCCCTGACAATTTTAAGTACCTGATATTTGTTCAAGGTTTGGTGTCAACAAAAGTTGCTGAAATCAGAAGGGTTTTAAATAAACTGGAAAACAAACCCAATCTGACTTTATAAAACCTAGCAGAAGATTGTCAGCGGTTTATAAATGTTCAACAAGATGCCAAAGATATTGAAATAAGCATTGAGTCACACATTAAAAAAGTGCATCAAAAAAAGAAAGTGAAGAAGGGAAAACACATGGGGAGAATTACAGTGATATAAGTACTGTCCACACAAAAATAAAGAATGTCTTTGGTGCAGAAAAAAAGGACATAAGAAAACACACTCTAAGACAAAAGTAAAAAGACAAGTGAGGAATTACGTTAAAGTTACTAATATGGATGAATCTGCCAGGAAATTTGTGCAGGTAAAAATCCTTAACAAAAATATCAAATTACAATTGGATAGCGGATCCAATTTATGCATAATAAATGTATGTACATGAAGAAAAATAGGTAAACCAACACTAATTGTTACCAAGAAAATCGCTCATAGTGTTACAGGACAGAAAATAAAATTCAAAGGAGAATTTATAACAAATGTGACATTAAATGATAAACCTTGAAATTAAGACTGTAATGAAAAATACAAATAACCTTTTTGGAATGGATTGGATGAAGCAGTTTAATTTATGGAAGAGGTTTTTGCGCAATAGGATATTTTTGAAAATTGACCTAAGTGACGTGTATCACAGATTGAAGTGGATGACGAATGTTGAAAATTACTTATAATAAATACACATCAAGGCATGTTTAAATTCAGTCATTTGGTTCTCAGAATAAAAGTCGTTCCAGTTATTTTTTTAGCAAGTAATGGATACGATGCTTAGTGAACTTGACTTTGCAGTCACTTATCATGACAATATTTTGCTGAAACCCAAAAGAACACAAGAAAAATGTTTTTGAGGTTTTCAGAACTATAGATTCAAGCTGAAAGGCGAAAAGTGTGAATTTTTTATGGATAAAATCAAATATTTGGGACAAATAATTGACAAAAATAGCAGGAGTCCAGATCCAGCACGAGCCAGTGCTATAAAAGACGTGTTTGCTCCTGAAAATGTCAGTTCCCTACAAACTTTCCTGGGTTTGGCAAGTTATTACAATGTATTTGTGCCAAACATACATTGTTTGCAAGCTCTGTTAAATGAACTATTAAAAAAAAACTCTAAATGGGTTTGGATAACGGTGTGCCAGGAAGCATTTGAAAAAATTTAAAAAATGCTAATGTTGGACTTGTTTTTGGCACATTATGATCCAAAAGAAGAAATAATCATAGCAAGTGACGCTAGTGCATAAGGAATAGGAGTCTGCATCATGCATAAACTCAAAAAAGGCTCAATTAATCCTATTGCACGCACATCCAGGATGCTTTTTCCAGCTGAAAAGAAATATTTCATGATAATTTTATCAAGTGGCCAGAGATATTGAGATGTAAGGAACCAACCACACAAGTAGTAATTCTACACAAATTATTCAAGGTTTGGGGTACCAGATTTCACTGTTTCAGATAACGGCACCCAATTTACATCAAAAGATTTCAAGGAATTTTGCAAAACCTTTGTGGGAGAGCACACAACAATTGTCCTTTACCACCCTACAAGTAATGGCTGGACAGACTGTTTTGTGGATACCTTTAAGAGGACTCTAAAAAAATCCAATTGTGAATGCATAGAGCATTGTAACAATTTCTCAAGGTGTATTGGCTTACACCAAAGAAAACTCCAGCAGAAATTGTTTGCACAAAAAATACGACCAGTTTTTGACAAGCTGATACCCAATAAGAAAAAACTTAAACATACGATACAAAAAGCTGGAAATAAATTTTACAAAGTTGGTCAAAAGGTTTTTTACTGGATGTATCAGACAGGTAAAAAAGATATGGGGAAGTTGGAACTATCAACCGAAGAATCGGTAGGATGGTATATTTAGTCAAAGGACCCAAAATGGTGCACAAAAGGCACTATAATCAAATAAAGAGTAGGTATATAAATGAAGAGAATGATACTCCAGTGAAGGTTGAACCTATGGAAGTTCTTTTCAACACATTCATTGTGCCCATTCCTCAGAAAGCTCCTGTGATAGAAGTCCAAAAAAGACAAAGAGGAAAAGAAGGGATACAGAAAATCAAAATCAACACAAAAAGGAAAAGATATTGACTCTGTGCAGAGTAAATCTAAAAAAGGGAGAGGGGTGTTTACCATACCTATGGACTATAATGGGTATGTTCCAATCCTCAATCCTTCTACAACTGAAAATGGTGGCTTCATGCAAGTTAAAAATTATTATAAATGTAATGCTATATAGGTAGTCTTGAAGTAAAAGAAAGGTAATGCTAACGGAATCAATAATTCTTAGATCAGACCAAAAACAAAATTGTAAAAATATGATACAGAGGGCAAATTTCACTGATCATAAGTTTCATTTCAAGAGTTAATGCACTGCAACTTCTTCCTACATTTCATAGCACAAATCTTTACACCACATAAAAACAGCCAGAAGCATAATGTGACAGTAAGGTAAAAACAAATCAAAAATATAAAGTATCCATTGGAGGTACATACTTGAAATTTTGAAAGTTTACTAATTTTCGGATGAGAAATTTAACAGAACAGCTCTTTTTACTGTAATCAATACTTTTGTAATGTGTATTTTGGAAACTTTTGTGAAATTGTAATTTTCAACTAATCAAAAACTACAAAACTTAGAAATTTGTTTTACAAAAGGAAAACAAATACTTTATAATATAGTTTTAAACTGATAGAAAAGACTTTCTAGACATTGTGAAGGGTTCTCCTGCATTTCCTCTCCTAATGATGATTTGCTAAATTAATTTCCTCATAACTAGTTCTGGAACACTTGCATATCCACTCATCATTTGAAAGTGAAATTACATCAAAGTCTCATCTAAAGACAAATGTTTATTCCATTTGTTACAAAGGCCATCAGAAATAATTATTTCTTCTTTGTTGGAGCCAAAAACTAACTGAATGGAGATGCAATATCAATGATTTTGACAATGTAGAAGTTGGAGTCATAATATACTGTAAACTATTGGCCTAGGTACTTATAAGTGGTCACTTGCAGTAATTCTTCATCACAACTACAGTTGTTTAAATACACAGAATCACTGAGTGCTTTTTCTTCTTTGTCTTAGAAGTGGAAATGAATCAACTGATTTTCCTGTCATCAAGTAGCTGCAAAATGTAGCTTCCAGCTGAAATTTACTTTCACTGGTGTTGATTTTGATACCTAAGAAAATCTTCAGATATCCAAGTTGATCTTTCAGTGCTTCCAAACCACTGTTTTACTAGACTTCACAGGACCACCATGCTTGATGACTGAGTTAATGATTATGTGTTTCTCAGCTTGACACTTGTTTTCCTTCTTTTGCTTCTCATTTTTAGCAATCCTTTTCTTTACATGAAGTTTTGGAAGTACTTGTTGCTTGTCTTTGTCACAGATGTAGAATCATTGATTTTCTTTGGTATTTCTTTCATCCATTAAAGTTTTCAACTTAGATATCCTTTGTGAAAGACAACTTTGAACCTTATGGCTCACACACCAAATTGATGAGCATATATTTTCTTTAAGATGGGACTATTTTGGTATGTGTAGACAGACAACTCTGAGGATAACTAATTTAAAAAATACCACTATGAAATTATCAACTGCAAAAATTCAGAAAAATTGCTGTTCATCATTGGAAATTTTTCTACTTTGACACGTTTGCAGGGCAGTTTGGGATACCTATTTCAAGAGTCATATCAAAACAGTAATGGAGTATTGCTGCCATATACGGGCTAGTGGATTATATGGCTTTGTGGATGACAAATTATTTTTCACCCTATCACACAGATGAAATGTTGCTAGCCTCTCGTTACTCTATTTCTATGACAAATATTCAGATTAATCATCTTAGTACCACCAATTCAGAACTTTATGGCTAGGATTTGCCTTGCCAAGGTGTCAAGTTATCCCTCGTTCCTTTCATATTCTTTTGGTAAGGAGGAAGTTTCACTTAGATAGCTTCCCCCTCCCAGAACTGTTACCTTGTGACTCCCCAACCACAACAATCTTAATCTCTTCAAGTCTATGCCATTTATTCTATGTATCTATATAATATGCACCTCTTCTTTCTCTCTTTACATCATTAGAGTAATCTTGTTTATTAACCTTCTACTTTGAGTGGCTCTTGGTCCTTGTAATAGGTAAACAATAGTATAAAAAACACAAAGATAAAGAAAATAATCTGCATGTAAATAAATATAAGCAAATTTTATTTTCAATACTAACCATTGGTGCTACAATGTTCATATTACACTGCTGATACCACTTCTTGCAACTGATTAAATAAAGTTTAAAATCAATTTTAAAATAAAAAGAAGTTATGCATAACTCCTAGTATAACTAACATAGCATCTTACAGTATTCTCACACTTAATACATTCACGTAATCTCCTGTAAAATGACATCTTAGATGAAATCCTGTTAATCAAATATAAAAGCACAAGTAAAATATTGTAATTCATCCAATTTTCATTTTCTTTCAAAATTAATTTTTAATATAATTTATATTTTTTCTTAATGACTATACTTATAAAAAAAATTAATAGAAAAAATAAAATAGGTATGAAAAATCAAATTTGTTCACATATTTAAGAAAAATTAATTATGAGAATTTTTGTAATTTGTTTTGAGAAAAATTTATTTAATGTAGTTTTCTCTTCAAAGTACTTCCTTCAAACTGTGGATCTATATACATTCAGTTACTGATTCAACTATGCTTTTGAAGAGCAAAGAAGTTTTTAAAACTGTTGTAAATTCATTTCACTTTTTAAACATTTTCTCTCCCCATGCAGGTGTCATTGTATGCATTATGAGTGCTATTGGTCAGCATTAACAAGATTATCACTTAACTCTTTACAATGCAAATTCGATAATTCCAGGATATTTGTAGAGTCTACTTCATTAAAGCATAATTCCTGTTCAATACCTGCAATTTCATCAATGACCATGGTAATGCTGATTAAACACTTGAAAATTATTCACACAGTAAGACAAAAGTTGTTTCCATACAACCTTCACAATGATTGACACCACTCGCTACTATGACTCAAATATTTTCAGTTGTACACTTAATGTTAAATTTATTCCAGAACTCAACCAATGAAATTGGGTTGTATCACTTGATATGGAGATAATTAATTTAGATGCATAGGATGTGAAATGGATGTTGTGTTAGATGGTAAAAACAATCTTTGCATTTTAAGTCACTTATAGCTGAGAGTAGCATTCAAAAGCAACAGAGTACACATATACCTATAAAGCATTTATCTTCTATTCCTTTATTTTCTTTTTAGAGTCAAGAATAGTCTCAAAGCTTTTGTTTTCATACTGTCAATACTCAGCAGAATAGTTTTGATTACAGTCCTCATCCATATCAGCAATAATCATTCCATTTTCATATTCTCATTTCGATTTTGAGTGAAAAACTGTCTTTTTTTTTTCTTTTTTTTTTTTAAACTGAGGAATTCTCATTGTTCCTCTTATTCTTTGCTAACTGGTAGGAAAATATTCTAAATTTAAAAAATAAATACATAAATTGGGAAATTACATGCTTTCAAAAAAGAAAAATGAAGCACTCTTCTAAATTAGGCAAACTATAGCAATGATTTTGCCTGCCTGTTGTTGCTATAGAAATGGTATATATGCAAATTTTGAAATTTAAAATTTTGTACTGAGCAAAATTTCATGTTAAATAAAAAAAGGTTGCAATGAATAAACTTCCTTAACCCCAAAACCATGTTAATTAAAGCTGTTAAGTGAGGGAATACTATAATTCCACTTTATTGATTCTCTATTGCCTTATTTCAAAGAAAAGACAATGTTTACTGAGGTCATTTTAAAAATTTTGTCATGCTTTTCTATGAACATGTACAATTCAAATTTGATTCAAATCAAAAGGAAAATTTTGAATGGAAAAAAACTGCTGTTGATTAGTGTTTCTATTAAAAAAAGGATACTGTTCCCAATCATTGCAACTAATCGGGATACTGGTAATGGTTGATCATATGCATATCGAGAATTCAAGCATTCTGTTCTCATAAAATTGCTAAAAAAGAACAGAGAATAAACCAAAATTATTAGAAATACTTAAAATTTTGAAAAACTCAGTTGCTTATAAAATAACAATAGAAAAAAGAAATTAATGAAATTATGAAATACTTTTAATACACAAATGATAAATAAAAACTGCAATAACATGTCAAATATATATTTAAGTACAACATTTATGCATTAACTTAAATCTGAAAAGTATGTACATAAATATCTTTTGTCTTTAAAAACACTTGAAATGAAAAAAAATTACTTAAATAGAACATTTACTAACTAAAAAGTAAAAGTTTCTATTTTACTTAAAAATATTTTTCATTTCATAAATGCTATTTACATATAATCTATGAATTTTAACCAAATATTAATCATTATAAATTCTAGAGATTTTACATGAAATTATTACAAATGGGTCTGTTAAGATTTTGAGGGTTCAAAGGAAAAATAAAAATTGCCTTGTATTTCTTAAAAATAAAGGACAGTTTAGTCTTCAATTACCATAAAAAAATGTCAAAATCTTTTTTGAATATTTAGAGATTTTTTAACATTCTCAATATTTATGCATGCTATTTGTAAATTAAAGTATGCCCTATGTGAGTTAAGTTTTCCAAGCTTTCCTTCCTTGTTATATGCCCAATAAATTTTCAGTATCCTTCTATAAAACCACATTTCTGCTGTCTCTAGTTTTCACCTCAGCCATGAGGAGATTTCTAACAATTTTTTTCTATTTCCCAGCACCTTGCTTAGCTTTTGGAATGCATCTGTCACTAGTCTCATGCATGTTCAGATTTTAGTGTCCCATTTTCCATCCTCTGTTAAAACACTTCACAAATATTAAAACTTCTGCACCTGATGCTGTTGATATCTCCAATTTGTAACTTGATCTTGGGCTTTTTCTCTTGCTTATGACCATACATTGTTTTCTTGCAGTTAATGGTTAGTCCTTTTTTTTCTCACTTTCTTCTACTACTCTGTCTAAGAGTTCCTGTAGATTTCTTTCAAAGTTGGCCATTAACAGCATCATCTACATATATTAACATTATGGCCATCAATAATAAATCCTGACAGATCCTCCAGCTTCTTTAAGATCGCCTCATTGTAGAATTTGAATAAATCTGGGGAGAATACACATCCTTGTTTTACATCCTTTCTATTTTTGTGGAGCTACCTAATTCATTTTCTATCTATATGCAGGTGGTTTGTTCCCAGTATAAGTTCTAGATAACACCCTTTTGAAATATATCTAGTTTTTCTAACAATTCAAATAGATCTTTGTGCCACACCTTATCGAATGCTTTTGTGTAATCAATAAAACATAAGTGCACACCCTGCATTTGTATTGCTTTATCAGATAGCATTCTAATCATGAATTTTGCATTTCTTGTTTCAGTGTCTTTTACAAAGCTGTACTGTTCTTGTCCTATTTTCAGTTTAATTTTGTTTCATGCTCTATTCATCAGGATTCACGTCATTAGTTTGGTTATGTGGCTCATTAAACTGATTATTCAATGGATTTTGCATTCACTTGCATCTGATCTCTTAGGTAATGTTACAAAGATGGATTTAGTGAAGTTGTACATTTTGTTTATTACTTTTGTAATATTGTCAATGCTCCAATTAGCTTTCTTAAAATTAACAAAATTTTGTTCATTTTTAACCTTTCTTTAAACAAAAATATTATAATTTTGACAAGTTTAAAAAAAATAATAAAAGATATGACAGTTTTGCAATAAAATCAAAAGCCATTCTTTTTAATCCAATTTAAATTAAACACTCCTACTTCCACCTAACAACAAAACCAAAAGATCTTGGCAAACTAGATTATTAAAATATATGAACAAACTATAAAGAAATGTTATTTAGCATTTTATAAAGTTTGAATCAATTTGCAGTTAGCCGATGTTTTGCCAAGCATTCCAATAAATAATATAATAGTGTAAATAAATAAATAGTATTTATTATTTTTGTTATCATTGCTGAAAAATGAAGGTAGTTAAAAAAGCAGTATCATCCATTTGACACTGTCTCAATGTGAGTACAAAGGGCTATGTTTGCCAACATTTTTAAGTAACTACCACTTCAGATTGATTTCAGTAAAGGAAAAGTTTAACACGTATAAAATGATCAAATACTTGTAGTACATAATATCTGAGAGATTAGTACAGGATACAAATTAACTAATTACAATTAGAGACGTCTGAAGATTCAAACTAATCATATTTTTCAAATAAGATTCTGAAGGAAAAATAATTTTTACCAACAAGTCTGTCACATCTTTTTCTAAATTCACTGATTTTAATTATAAATAAGCTTAGAGCTATATTCAATTTTTGGTACATTTTAGATAACTGAAACTATGTAGGTTTAAAATGCACTACTTTTACTAACATCATTTTTACAACTAACATATGTAGAAAAACACATAATAAACCTTTCCACATGACAACATACTGATTAAATTTAGCAGTCAATTTCTAACACATTTAAATACTTTACCTGAGCAGCCGAGCATCAGCTGTAAGTCCAGCAATTGATATGCCAACATGATCATCAATAGGAATTATCTTTTTCTGATGAGCAGACAGCTCTGATGGAGCTCTCTAAATATGTATAAAAGTAAAATCATTAAACATACTAAAAATAAATTACATATGATATATAGGCTTATCACCTGTACAAGTGATATGAAAATATGTTCAAAATTTAACCTTTTTCTACATAAAGAGCAATAAAACAAAATACAAAACAATGGATAAATACTAGAATACTGCTCGTCATCATCGTGCTTTAATATTGAGTATATATTTTTACCAGTGTGAATAATATCTGTAATTTTTGATCATACAGCTGACTGCATGACACACTCATAAATTTAAACAGATTTTCATTACTTATGAGTAAAGGAAAATAAAAAAAACTTAACACCCTTAAATAGGTAATAGACACCTACTGTAAACAAAGGTATTTTTCATTGTATGAAACAGTAAATCAGGGAATATCTGGTTTGGCATCAATCTGGACACTGATTAGGGAATGGTCTAATGTGCCTATGAGGGGTAAAAATTTTGCTAAGCATTTATCAAGGCAGGATGCTAGAAAAATGTTGAGGAGGTTCGCCTGCTGTCCTATCACATCCAGGACACAGGCAGGTTCTCGGTTAGTTCATAGATGATGGAGAAGTCTCTGCAATATCTGCCTTCTTCATCGGTTTTGTTCGAGTGAATTAACCACTCTTAATGGTGGAAGTTAAAGTCACCCCAGATATAAATGCTAACCAAGGGAAATTCAGTGAGGATATTATCAATCCTCTTGGATACTCAATCAAAAATTATTGACCATCATCCTGAGGGCAATAGAGAGCAATGACAAATATGGTACTATGGATAAGTACCACACAGAAAAACATATACAGGAGATCAGGGTTTTGTTATAATGGGTTAGTAGCCATTAGTATGCGTGTTTGTGTGTGAGAGAGGGGAGTGCATCACCTATTTGATTTAGTATCTGAAGTATAATTAGTAGGATGGGTGCATGCATAGACAAGTTGTCTATTCTGCTTAAAAAAAATAAAAACTAAATGGATAGAAAGTTTGGGGATTAGTCTTCGTTTTTTTCTACATACATATGAAAGCATGTGTGATACTCTGCCCTCATCAGCCACCAAACAGGGGAAGTAACACAGTTTTGGTGGTTAAGGCGGTAGGGATTTTCTTCTTTTGTGTTTTAAACTTTGCTTCAACATACATGTGTGTGTGTATGACAAATATTCCTGTCATAGACACAAGGTAGGAGTTGGATAGCAAGTTCATTAGAGCCAGCTGGCTGAGGAAGCCAGTAGAAGAAATAAGAATCAGAGTAATAACTGGATTAGGTTGTGAACTGAGAGAGTGAAATAGCTATAAAGTTTCAACTTAGTACAAGTCTTTGGAATGTGTCAAGTAAACTCACAGCTTAAAACGCAGGAAAAATGTTCATTAAAATGTGGTGTCATTGAGAATTAATATTGAAATAAATAATGCAGTCATGTGCATACACAAATACACACACACACACACACACGTGTTGAAGCAAAGTTTAAAAGACAAAAATTGAAAAGACGAAAGGATAAGAAAATCAGTTTTAAGTAAACAGCTCAAAATTATCCAAGACATATATTAGGTATCCCAGCACTCAGCTTAGAGCCAATGAAATTCTTAACTAAACACTAAAAAAGGCATATATTCAACTCGCTATGTTATTTCATTCAATATCTCCATAAAAACATAATGGATACCAAATAAAAGTTTATTTCATGAACTTTGTTTCTATCTTATTTATTTTTATATGTACTACAGTGTGCAAGGAACATTACAGTTTGAAAATAGAGACATCTTGGTGATTTCGCAAAATTTTGGCCATTTTTTTCACTGATGGCAATTTAGACTTCCTCAAATTTTGTAACATGCGCACTCCACAGGGTTTATTACAATTTTGGTAACACATTAGTTCGAAAGTTAACATTCTAAGCTTCATTTTCATATATTTTATATTTTTTTAATAAGAAGTTTGTAAACAATTCAAATGAAAAGTTTGATTGTAAAATTCAAATGCTTCTTGTAAAAATAAAAACACATAAAATATATCATTAAAGCGCTCATTTAATAATCTATGAAACTAAATCAAAATCAAATATGAAACAATAGCTCCATTTTACACATGTGTAACCATGTGTGACTCACTTGGCCATCATTTCAACTCCATGCGACAGTCAATACACAGCGACAACACGAAAACCCAAGAATCAACCAGCATGTTTTCTATGGACAAAATTTTCAAGGAAACCAGTAAGAATTTGTTTTAAATATTAATTTTCTATGATATGTAAAATGTAAATGGGATTTAAAAACCGTTTTTGTCATAAAAAAAACATGAAACAAAAATCGTTTTGTTTACTCAGATTCAAATCACGGAAAAAAACACAGGACTTATTGATTGAAAAATGTTCATATTCAAATAATGAGATAAAAAATATTCTATAAAAAAAAAAAAAATAAAATAAAAAAATAATGCAAAAAAATTCTAGAATTTAATTTTATGTTTTTTCTCACAATAATTATCAGTATTTCAGTTACCAAGTAACATTTTGTTTAAAGTTACCCCTTCAAACAATTTTCTTACTTTTTAAATTATCTAATGAATGGATTTTAGTTACGATTTATTGTTATCTAGATACAAATTTATGATTTAATATTCATTTTCTTAATTTATTATTATTTCTTAGTAATATTCATTTCATACGGATTATGATTGTTTATTTTATTATAAAATATTTTAATGTGTCAGTTTTAAGGACCAATGTGGAAATAGGTTTGTTGAGAAAATATTTTAGTGCTTCCTTATTTGTTACTCAGGTGTATGGATGACTCTAAATTTATATTTATCCCTGATTGTATTTAGTGTAAATTTTTTATGAACTGCAAATAAACTCAAATTCAGTAATAAAACATAGACAATAATTTGTAGACGATCTCTAAGTAGTACTTCGACAAAATGGGATAGGATTATAAATTCTATTTTTTTCTTTTTGAACATGACGATGTACATTCAGTTACAATGTTGTTTTATGACAAAAGGACGTGGAAGGAAGATGTCTTTGCCTAAAGTGGAATATTCCAAGGTGCTGCTTCAAATATATTCATTGAAAGAGAAGTATCAGGAAACCTGGGATTCTGCTATCACTTGGCTACATAAATTGTTACCAATCTTTCCTAAGAACAGATGGGTACACCTTATTGAGAAAGTTGTAGCAGAAGTTAAGAGTTGTCCAAAAGCGGATCGTCCTGCATTGCACCATGAGGTAACAAATTTGGGATTCATAGGTAAAAGATGTGAGTGTTGGATTGACTCTCAGTGTTTTGTCGGATCCAGTGCTGGGTCGTAAGCTTTTGTGTGTGGAAGTAACAAATGGGCTCATGCTTGAACTATATAAACTGGATACGCCAGCAAAGATATACTAGTCAGACTAGAAGAACTTGGGTAGTGCCTGAATTAGATTATTTGGAGGGATTGTATGAAGATTATGCCAAGATTTACTTTTGACTACTCAGTGAAGAGGTATCCCAACACCCAGCCCACCATTACTGAAAATTTCCAAGTAAACTTTATTTGATTAATTTTATGTCTGTGTTGTTTATTTTTATGTGCATAATGTGAAAGGAACATTACAGTTTAACAATTGAGACAGTTTGGTGATTTCATACCGCTTACATAGTGATCGGAACTAACATGTGTCAGAAGTTCAAACTTTTGATCAAATTGTGACAGATAAAATATTTTTATTTTAATGATTTCAGTTACAGATTTAGTGGTTGAATACCACTTCATGATATGGTGAGTTTTCTGTTTTCTTATGTTCATTAGTGGGTATTGTTTGGTGTGTGTTAAGCTTCTCTCTCTGTACAGTCCAGAAATTGTACATGCTGAGTCAGGACTGTACCTGTTCAGTATCTGCTCCATATACATTCTAAATCTGTTGATTTTAGGTCATTTTAACCATGATAAATGGAAAGAGCACCCCCAGAAATGGCTAGATATGAAATTTGGGGTTTCTAGTGTAAGAAATATTCATTTTATGACACAATTCAAGCAAATCTTGTCTTTAGTCTAAAATCGGCCTTGTGACAAAGGGTTAAAAAGCAATTTTTTTCAATTTTGAAGTGGAATAATCCAGAAGATATCCATTCTATCATTCCCCCCCAAAAAAAAATTAGGCATGTTACTGGTATAGTCATAATGTGATATTTGAAATTTGGGATGAATGTGGGTCTTATTTCCAGTTTTATGAAATGTCAAACCATCGGGTATGAGTTGTTTGCACATCATTGCAGAGGGTTTTATTTAAAAAATTTGCATATTCAGACTGAGTTTATTTAAGAAATATGCAGTGATACTATCTATAATTTTATTATTCATTTCTTTGTTATGTACCTAACAAGCTAGTATAATAGCTTTTTAAAATATAGGAGTCCAAATATGGTATTTTGTCCTAATTCATAATAGACAAAAAAATGGCTAAGTCGAGCACATGTGTAAAAATAAAAATAAATCTGCCAAAATTAAACGGTTTGAGATATTTCGATGAAATAAAAACTGCTAAGTTTTTTAATCATGTAGATTAAGAAGATGCAATCAGATAACACCTAGTACCTGTTTGAAATTTTCATCTGTGATACTTACATACATTAAGATTGTTCAATGTAAAAATAGGCATGAGTGAATTTCAGTGGTGCTACCAAAAGGAATAGGAAGAATTAAGTTTCTCTGGCTGAGTCAGGGACTTTCCTTCTAATAGCCAAGTTAGTGGGGTCTAGGTCACTATTGGGACCTTCCTTTCTGTACTATTTTTTCTTTTTTTACCCAGTTTTACTTTTGTTAGTCATCAATCATGAAGTAATTGAAGTAATTTTGAATGGCTAAAAATTAACATGACAAATTACTGAATAATAAACAGTCTAATACCTGCTTTAAGTATGCAGAAGCAATTTTTTTCAATTAACTTTATGCTATTTTGTGGCAATTAAAACTTCAAAACACATTTAAAATACTGCAATACATTTTTTAA